TGAAGGGGAAAGATAGTGCAAACCAAAGGAATGTACTATGCTGATGAATGTCAATCCAAGGCTCAACCTCCTAAGGAATGCACAGAATCCAACCAAAGGAAGGATTAGGCTCTCCAAAAAGGGATCCTCATCAAGACTTGGAGAAAGAGGATAGGGCAAAGCCCAGGGAAGAAACCACATAGGGGAAAGAAGCCAACACAGAACCTGCTAAGAAACCCTAAAGATTAGCTACAAGGATCACCTAAACTAAGAGGATTCAAAAGCTCTATCAAGGCCTAATCCATGTTCTAAAGAGGTATCTACCTAAGTTCTATCCTATCAAGAAGGGATTTGAAGCTTAGAGTTAGTTACAATTCATCTTAAAGACTAATCTATGAAGTAAGCCTAGTTAGGATCACCTAAACTATAATCAACTTGGAAAATGTAGGGAAAATAAGAAATAAATTCTAAAAATCCTAAGAAAAATCGTAGAGCCTCCTAAGGGTGTTGATGCATCATGGTAGAAAACTCAAGGTCAAAACCTAAATTTAGAGGTACTAAACAATTTATACATCTCAAGGTGTGCTAAAAGGAATCCATAAGGAGAAAGTTCTAAAACCTATCTCAAACTCAAACTTAGAATCATCTAAAAAATGCAAGAAAAATCACACAAACCTATCAAGATGTCTAGATAACACACGCAAAAAATCAGAACTAAAATCAAATACAAGAGATAGCACAAAAATCAGAAGGAAAGTCCACCATTTTTACATTTTTTATCAACTAATAAAAATGGAAAAATAGACAATAAATGGAAATTTTATCAAAAACTCAAACAAATTGCATACAAAAATCAGAGACAAGCCAAAGATCAATCATGATTTTTTCCATATTTTTCTGACAATTATTTATATTTTTAATGAATTAAAAATGATAAAAGCATTAAAAGAAATAAGAAAAAACAATTAAAAGAATTAAAAAGGATTAAAAACTGGGAATAAAACAGGACCATCAGATCAGTGGGCCAGTCTACTCATCCAAGGGGCAAGGCGCGTGCCACGTAGCACAAAGGCCTCCAAATGAAACGCAGCGTTTCATTAACGCTTGCGTGTGGCTGGTTTGACTATGGATCACCATAGTCCCTACTCTGGAGCATTCATGCAAAAAGTATTACAATCCAATGTCCATTAGCGTGCCACGTCAGCGGTCAAAAGTCAACAATACTAAGACTTAATCACAAGCCTTGGATCTGCTTACTAAGTCCACTAAACCAGACTCATCCAACGGCGTATGCATCGTCTACAACCTTTGAATTGCAAATGGAAAAGGGGGGAAATCCAGGGCGGCCGGAGAAGACTTCGGTCGTCTTCTCCGGCGAGCCAACGGTGGCCAAATCACCAGATAACACTAAACTTCACAAAAACATCCAGATCCACTTGTCTCCTCACAAGGATCAACATGATACTCTTCATTTTTTCACTTTTTGAAGGAATAACCAAATACGCACATGAACAGAAAATATGCACTTTGGCAAATCATCACCAAACTCCACAAAAAGCACATAGATCTCTTCTACACGTATCACCGGTCAAGAATCCACAACTAAAACGTGATATCAATCAAGATTAAGCCTAATCCAAATCCTTAAAGATTTCATCCATGATCAAGAAACTTCACCAATGGCTTCCAAACGAAACCTAAATCCATGGTTCAAATTCTACCTAACCACATGCAACATTTATCCTAATTCGTTCTCAACAGAGTATAATTATGAAAAGAAAGAAACTTGGTTTGAGCTTCAACAGAAGATGCGACAACCTCTAAACCTTGACCAAACTTGCTCAGAAACGATCAGTGATGCCTGCTGAAGATTCTTGAAGCCTCAATTCCTTCAGAAATGGCCTCCAAGATGAAAAACGATTTTCACTTTGTAACTAACTTTTCAAGTGCTTCTTACCTGATTCAAGCTCTTCCCATCACCAAAATTGCTCTGAACTCCATCATGGCAATATATAGAATTGTTTTGGGCTGAAAATGGGGGCCCAACTTGCTTGCAAATCCAATTTCCATTTTTCAACTTTCCTTCAAAACTCCTTCATGACAGAGCATGATTTCCTCTCTGTTTCAGCTTCATTCTCACTCAAATCCATTGCTGGTGTGTTATGGAGGATGAATGGCCACGATTTGTTCCTTGAATCCAATCAATGGTGGATCCTAATTATGTACCTTCATTCTAAAGAAACCATGCATTACGCCATGAAACCAACTTTAACTTAAAAATGTGAAAATGCAAATCCACTCTAAATGTCTTTTACCTTCAAAAAATGCACAAACTTGCACTAATGTGAACCAAAATGAATTATTTTACGATTTTCTCATTTTTATGCCTTTAATTATTCCTCCATGAAAATTTCTTCATTCACTCTTCAATTTAATCCATATCAATGAATCCTTGGGTCATGGTTGGACAAATAACACCATTTTGAACAACTTTCAAGTTGGACAAAAATTCATTTGAGGTGTGTAAGATGGGGAAATGGACCCATAATGAAAATGACCTATAATCTCAAATTCCCAAAATACCCTTGTCTTGCAAAGCTCGTATCTTGAGTTCTACAAATCCAATAATGCACTTCTAGTACTTTTTGGAAAGCTAAGAAGATAAGGAACAACCATGTTGGCCAAAAGTTCATGAGAATCATCTTTCTATGGCAAAAGTGTCATGCAAGTTGGTTGACTTTCAAGCTCCAAATTCACATCCATTTGATGACCTGTAACTTGTCTGATTCATAACTTGAGTTCTATAAACCTTATCAAGTACTTCTAGTATTCAAATTAAAGCTATGATCATGCTCTACAACAATCATGTTGGGGTCAAGGTGAGATGAAAATCACATCTTGAGTTAGCTGGTCTTGAAGTTAGGCACCAAACCAGGGGATTTTACACTGTCAAGTTTAGAAACCCTAGCCTAGGAACTCCTCACACTTTTGATCTATGATGAGTTAATCTTGGAATCATCCCTTGGGCATCTTAAGACATTAATCCATGATCACATGGCCTTGAACCTAGGGTTGACCAGATGAAACCCTAGTTGCACCAATCTAGGTAGTAGCTTTTTATCCTTCACATAATGACATGTCTAGGCTTCAAAATGATTTTCAATACTTCTCATGAGCTCTCTCAAGGCCTCAAGTCCAACTCCATGGATTCAAAATCATCAAATGACTTCCCACAACTCCCAAGTTAGGAGATATACACACTTGGCTTCAACCACTTTCTCTGAGAATCTTTAACTTTATTGATGAGGATATCAACCCTTGAACACTTGAACACTTGAATAAACCTCTTAGATAGCTTCATAACCTTGTGTAGCCCTTTGTTGGTAGTCATACCTCTTGATCTCCTGCACATATGTCAATGCAATGCAGATGATAATGCTAAAATGAATGCAATGAAAAACAAGCTAGGTATAGAAAAAGGTTAGGCAAATTTTGGGGTGCAACACTCAACCTAAACCAGATTACACAAATCTTCGGCTTTGGACGTTATCACCTCGAACATGCACAATGCACAACAAAAATGATTATGTGTAATTGAAAGGAATAACACAACTCAACTTATATACAAGACATAACTGAATTAACAAACATAACAGACTCCTAAAACAGTTTGACTAGAATTTTGACTCAACACAGCGAGCGGTCGACCTATGCAGTAAGGGGGTCGACCTGAGCTTACCCGAATACATGATTGTGCAAAAAATAGGACCATGCGTCGACCGGAGCATGTCACGCGTCGACGCACAACATGCAAATTTAGACAAATATAAATGATCACAGCATGAGTCGACCGGAGGGTCGACGCGAGCCCTCTTGAGAATAGTTCATTGAAATGACTAGTTGTATGAGTCGACCGGAGCTAGCTTTGAGTCGACTCAAAGCCCTGAAATAGACAAAAATGTCAATTTTCATGCATTAAGACACTTTTGATGAACCCTATAGTATGACAAGCAAGACTATAAGCCAACCCTATATGAAACATAGACTTGGCCATCTCTATATGCAACAAAATGCTTTTTGAAGAATGTTTGACTTATGAGAGACAAGACATGCAAATATGACATGGTGACAACGTCCAACATACATTTTTCTATGGAGCTGCGTTTTGACATCATCGAAACGAGCGCATCTATCTATGAAACTTTGCCCTCACAATGTTATGGGTGTTCGTTTAAAATTTTGATTTGTAAGATGAATGTGTTCAACTTACACTTTGTTAAATTTAAGTTTAGTTGGTTAAAAATATCAAAAGTTATATTTGACCTATAATCTATCCTAGACTTTTTATGACCCGACATCTAACCTTTTCAATTAAAAAAATTTATAAAAAAACTTATACATTTTCAATTAAAAAAAAAAAACTAACCTAAAACTATATAGATTAAATCGTATACTACTGTTTATTTGTTAATTGTTCTATTCCCACTTCTAATTATAATAAATAACTCAAAGAATGATAAATAAAACCTTATATGTTAATTAGAGTTTTTGAATTCGTAAACTTTCTTATATTATATAAATATCTTATCTAAAAGTAAATAAAAACATCATGTGTATAGAAAATCTGAAAAAAAAAAAGAACATGATATCTTCCGGATATGTTTTAAAAAGTTAAAGTTAAAGTTTAATTTGAATTTATTTAAATAAAACTGAGGTATTTTTGGAAAATTTGTATCGTTTGTTTTGTATGGGGGTATGAGGATTAATTGGAACCGTATAAAGTATTTTTTGTTTCCAAAATTAGATGCGCTACCTCATTACAAACATAAACCGGTTTATTTTCCAGTCCACACGGGTGGTGTTAGTTTTCTATTATATTTGGGCTAAGTCCATTTCGTTAAAAAAATAAAAAGGCCCGTTTAAAACCTCATTATATAAACTAAAATGGTGAGCCACAAAATTCCTGAACCCTCATTTTCACAGGTAGGGGAAGAGCAGCCTCCAGAGAGAAGCCGAAGAAGATGACGACCAGATTCAAGAAGAACAGGAAGAAGAGAGGTCACGTGAGTGCCGGTCACGGTCGTATCGGAAAGCACCGAAAGCATCCCGGAGGTCGCGGTAACGCTGGAGGCATGCACCACCACCGAATCCTCTTCGACAAGTACCATCCAGGTTATTTTGGTAAGGTCGGTATGCGTTACTTTCACAAGCTACGTAACAAATTCTATTCCCCGATTGTGAACATAGACAGGCTCGCTTCTCTGATACCTCAAGAGGTTAAGGACAAAGCTCTTAAGGAAAAGAAGGCGCCTGTTATTGATGTTACTCAGCATGGGTACTTTAAGCTTTTGGGGAAAGGGGTTTTGCCTCAGAATCAGCCTTTTGTGGTGAAGACTAAGCTTATTTCGAAGATTGCTGAGAAGAAGATTAAGGAGGCTGGTGGAGCTGTTATTCTTACTGCTTAGTTTTTTAATTTGTGATCGCTTTTGAACGAATTAGGGTTTTTGCCCCTTTTGGTGGTTTGTTTTTGTTGTTGCTTTAGACCACCTTTTTTTTGACATTGAGATCTATGCTATATTTTTGGGATTTAAAGTTTGTGTTAGTTTTCTATTATTTGCCTTAAATATATTCGTATCAAATAATGATTTTGTTATTGCTGTGTTATTTTTGGATTGATCAAATTCATGTTGGAATTAGGATATGTGAAATCGAACTTTAGGTTACAGAAATGAACTTTGAAGAGATTTTGTATGTCATATTCCATTAGAAATCGGATTTGTGAATGATTATTCCGTTTTTTGAGCTCTTACTTTGTGCGTGTTGAGCTCATCAATTATAACTTATATAGGTTAGTGTTCTGTTCCATTCATATTGTTGCAGATTCTCAGTGTTAAATAGCTTTTTTATGCTCTTCATAATAGCGTCCTTATTTTTTGTCTGGTTTATTGTATGTGGCACTGTTGTTCATCTCTAATAAATCCGAGAAAATATTACCGTTTCTAAATTTTATGGACATTTTTCTACACTGATTAGAGTGTTTTCTTTAATACAACAAAAAAACAAAAAAAGTAGTCCAGGCTTGAATTGTTTCATAGCTGATTTCTCAATTCTGTCAAGCGTGTGATGTGATTCTTTTAATGTATTTGTATGAAAAAATGTTATAACTGAGTTGGGAAGCAGTTTGGAGTTTACTTTTCACCTCCCAATGAAGCTACAAATCGGTAGCAATAACATAACTTTTTTTTAATCATTTTGATGTGGTTTCAAACACTCATTTAGGCGACAAAACAGATTTGCATTTGAATACTTCAAATTGTGGTGTAATTGAACAATACAATGAAAACACTCATACGAGGAAGATGGAATACCATCTTCCAAACTAAACTAGTTTTCTATGTTTTAACCTTAGGCTATTTGATAAAACAGTTAAAGATTAACATGTTTCCGACCAACCACTATATTTGATAGTGAGAAACCTTTTACCAAAGTGTCGTTGATGTAAACAAAACAGACTATTTCTTGGTGGTGACACAACGTTGTTCTGTTATATCTCTACTTTGACTATAGCAAATTCCCTAAATATCATATGAATATGCGACTTACACTCATCTAGATAAAGCCAGCAAGAACCTAGACCATTAATTTTTTACAAGCTAGCACCAGGATATGTTGCAAAAATAAATGATCAGATATATACTTTATTAACCTAACAATGAGTCAAACTTGAAAATATAACTTACAAATAAATGCTCTATACTATAAGTTACAAATGCCATTCTGGTTTTTTCTCTCTGAAACCAGAAATCAACCATGGGAAGGTTGATACTGATGGATCTTCAATGATGATGGTCAATGTCCTCTAAGTGGCAGTTGTTCAAGGGACGATCATGTGATGGAGGTTGATGTCCTTTCAGGGGAGGTACATGTAGGATCCAGTGATGGTGATCGATCTCCTCTTAGTGGTGGTTGTTGCCTTGTTGGAGGAGAGGTACATGTAGGATTCAGTGATGGTGGTTGATGTACTTTCAATGGTGGTTGTTGGAGGGGGAAGTACATGTACAAGGGAACATAACATCTGTGTTGTTGTGAGTTTTTTTTTCTTCCTGTATTACCTTAAAAAAGAATTTTCAAGTGCCCTTATTTTAGTACATGTTCGGCCGCTGACATGATAAATATTTTTTTGGGACAAAAGTGCTTGGCCGTGCCGAGCACCATAGTATTCTATTAATTTAATAATATTTTTAAAAAAATTTATTAATTTTTTAAATTAATTTATTAATATTTTAAAAATATATTTTATTATTTAATAATATTCTAAAAAAGTTAATTAATTTTTTAAAATTAAAATATTTTTTTAATAGGTAAAATAATTTATGAAATAAATTATACTAATTATTTTAATCTGTTTTGTCACTTAATGGCCGAATGAAGCCACCGTTAAGAGACTCTCGGTTAATGAATGACCGGGTGTCGGCCAATGAATGACCGAGTTTGCATGTACTATTTTTCTATAAGTAGTTTGATGCATATCAACGCAAATCATTCGACATAGTAAATTGTATTATTAAAAATGTCTGTTTGGGCTCTTGTGCAGTCTGGACAAGAAAAAAAAATTAGTGTTTGCCTAGATTCACAGGTGAATTTCACAACCGTGATTGCAACAATCAACACAGATTTTTGACAGTTGGGTGGTCGTCGTATGAAGGTGAGAAAAATTGAGTATCGTTGTCCATACATAATTGTCGCACCCTAATTTTTGACCTTAAAATTCCACCTCCTTTTGGTCTTCTTACGTTTTATCTCTCTACTATTGTGTGCAACTAACTAACTTGTGCATGTACAATATCTTCAAGTGTGGATGATATCCATTCTCACAATCAAAGCATCTTTGGGACGTGACTAGTATATTCGACTTCAAAGTTTACCACTCAAGAATTCAAGCTGCCACTAGATCTTAAAGAGTTGAAATACAAGCTTCGAGATCTTGTTCCCGCTAAAAGTTTATGTTGAAATAAGCAAGATTCAAGTACAAGCTACAATTTAAAAGAATTTGTGTTTCGAGCCTTTATCCCCAGGATTAAAAAAAAACTCATATTTCGGAACATTACGAGATTGGGTCCAGAATTTCGAAGTTGCAAGATGAGCTTAAAAGGAATACACCTCAACCACCCTTAATCATTTAACCCCAACTTGAATTCCCTCCGATTAAAGTGAAGTTTTGAAAGCTAACAACACTACGAGGCCAGAATAATTAGTGGATATTCACAATTTATACGCAAGGTCAAGTCACCAACGCTTTGTTCTTCGGGTTAAATAATATGTCAACGAGTTACAAGGACAATCTCATGCCATAAGTATCCAAAATTTTAAAGAATACGATTCATTTCTTTTTTAAACACCATCTTAAGTTACCGTAATGGCGTAAATAGAGGGAACACTGCCCTTTCCTTAAATTGGATTTATGTCTGCACTACAAATGTATAACAGTGAACACAACCACAATAAAAAGGACATTAGGAGTGTTAGTCAATTTTCTACTACAATGCAATAAAGACTTGTAAGCTTAATCCTTCACGGCAGGGACATTAACGCCACATTATTGCCATGGTTGCTTTGACTCGTGACCAATCCTTGATTGCTTCAAGAAACCGCCCACGTACCATAGAGCGAGAGAACCAACATGACCGCCATTGTCGAAACCCGCAACAGCTTCAAACTCCTCCTCTGCAACTTGGTCTGTTCAATCAAGAAGAGGATAAGTTCTACACAAGCAATCAGCATCATCAAATAGAAAACATAAGCAGAGACAATTGTTACCCGCAGCTGTTGCTCGGAGCACCCCGAATACCCCGTCTTTGCGACATTCTCGAGCTTCTAAAAAACCGTGTGGGTCGAGGTTCCACCAAAAACAATCTGTCAAGAAAACAGAAATCCAAAGTCAGCACTACACCTGCAAATACAAGAATAGAATTAACGACCGCAACCGACAATCGAAATAGCCATAACACATAAAGTGAAGGTTAGAAGTCCAGGAAAGAGATGAATTGAGTTATTTTCATCCCTCAGTTCAACGCATCATTGGGCATAAGTGAGCAGCCGGGAGGGCAACAACCGAAGTTGTCGCCAACTCCCCACCGAGCATCGAAAGGAACAAAATTTCGGACCAGAAAGCGACTGGTTTCGGACAACTTTTAACATAATACAAAACATCATATTCCACCAACAATAATCAAAGACGGCGGCGATTCCGACCCTTTTCGGTTCAGATGCAGTGTCATCATCACCGAGTTTTGGAGCCTTTCTCAGCAACATCAGAACTGGTAGTATCCTGAACTCCAAGAGGCTTTCCTGAAAGAAAGAAGAGAAACATCAATACAGTTTGAAAAGTAAGTCCGAAACAACCATGTCCCTGCAGAATACGAAAATGGAGTTATTATAGGTTGTAGAAAGAAGCACAATTAAGCAGCACCCAAGCGTGGTTTCAGCCAATAGAAGCCAGTTGAAAGCTCAGAATAGAGCGAAGGAGTTCAAGCCCTCAGTTCAATTTATCATTGGGCATAAGTTCGAGTGGCCGGAAGAGCAACGGAAGCCGTCACCAACTTCCCACCAAGCATTGAACAATTTAATAACAAATATATCCTAAGCGACAAAGAACGAAAGGCAAGCTATCGTGGCTCAGGCCATAAGGTCATCACGGCCAAACAAAAGCGAGGCCGCCATCAACGATTCTTTAAAGTCACCTTTGCGAAAAATCGTAACTGTAAGCCGCCACTAACACACAATCTGCTTTATAGTCGTCTATTTTGCAGGTTCCACTCACATGCAGAAACAATCGGAGAAGACAAAAGGGTCAATCGGAGATGAGAAGAAGCCGATCGGAGGGAGAGAGATGCAGAAAGAAGAAGAAGATTAGCGGCGGATTGGAAAGGGATTTGGGGGACTAGGGTTTTGATTTGTTTTTTTTTGTTTACTTTTGTTGTAATATGATTCCACGCATGCACACACACCACAATCACCATGCACTGCACATCATCACCGTCCGTCTCACCTGATCACCAGATCAAGTGACCCTCACGTTGCATACCCACGGTAATGCTGCACCCGCGCCATGTATGATCCATCGCCCCTTAATTAACCACCATTAACGCCCTTAATTTGGTAATTAATCCATTTAAAACTCTTAATCTCTCCTATTTAAATCTAATCAGTTTTTTTATTAAACAAATTAATAAAACCTATTTTATCTAAATCCCCCCCTTTTATATTTAGCTTATTTTTAAACAACTTTTTTTAACTAATATTTCAATTTATTCACTCTTTTATTTAATCAATTTAATAAATCTTTTATAATATAATAAAAACTTGTTTCATTTAATTTTAATATAACCTTTTATAAAAATAATAAAACTTCTTTTTTAATAACTAATTTATTTAATAAATAATTTATTTATTAGAAACTATCTCT